CGCGAGTTGTCGGGAGTTGTCGCGAGTATCATGCGAGTATTTTTCCTCGTGTACAACGAGTTGGCGAGTGGGGGACCCCTCGCATGGATCACCGAGCTAGAGTATCCTCCTTCACATATGTGATGAACAACTGTATAAGGGGAAAGCAACTGTTTTTGTTTTATCCCAAAACAACCCCTTCCTCTATTTAGGGGTTGTGATCCATGTTTGGACGCTCACCCAAACATGGATGAAAACTTCAGCATGTTTGGATACGTTTTTTAGGCTCGTCTGTCGACGAAATTAATAGTTTCTTATACCAACGTGTTCCTCTGACTATCCTGCTCACGGAAATACAACTTGCTCCCGCTCATTTGCATCTTCGAGGCGTGAAATTCGTTTTTTCTATATATCCTGACTAACCACGTGATATAGACACTCTGATTCGTTATATAAATGTTCCTCGAAACCTGTTCTATATATGTAAGACAAACGTTTTTCAAATGATTTTATTTTTAAGTTCCGTCACGGGATAGTAAGGGCGCTCGCTAGGAGTGGAGAGGGCTCCGGCCCGGCCGGCGGAGGACCGAGGGGTGCATAACTCCGAAAAACCGTGTACAGGGATTGGAATCCCTACAGATTCGGTGGGATTCAAAAGATTTTTAAAAAATCTATAGATTCTGAAGGATTGTGCAGATTGGCAATATTCAATATTTTGCATGAGTTTTTAATTGGCTCTCGCCGAGCACTCATAGCGCGAGCACATCCACCCTCCGGCGCCCAGCTCCCCGTACTTGTGTACCATCTGCATCTGCATCTGCAAGGGTGTGAGGCACACTTAATTTTTAAAAACTTACACCAATTTGGCAGTGGCGCTCCCGAAATCATAATCGAAAAGATACTAACCAGTACTAACGAATGACAAAATATGCGAGATTAAATTTCACCGGAAATTTCATTACACAGATTATGAAATTTCAGTGCAGGTCCTGAATTATGCAAACAAAATCGTACTTATATTTCGTTTCTAGCTTTTAATTTTTTCATTGCGCAAATCTTAAATTTCAAAACTTGTACTGAAATTTTATTACCATTTCATGTAACAAAATTTCAAAACCAAAAAGTGATAGGAATTACAGTACCAAAAACTGAAATTTCAACCTGAATTTTCTAACACCCGCTGCCAGCTGTTTTGGCCCTCTCTCCGAGACTGTGTCCGATACAAGTGGTAGTGTTTCTCGCCTACCCGGTACCAGCGGTTTGGCCTTCCCTCTGACGTCACTGGTGCTGCTGTGAGGCGCCGCTACACAGCGCG